TTATTATAACCCAACTAACTGCTTGAGAGCTGTGTTTATGTTCAGTTTGCCAACACTTTTGACTTATAGCTCCAATAATCAACAGATGACTCTATGCCAGTGGTTCTCAACCTTCTGGCCCTTTAAATATAGTTCCTCATGTTGTGACCCAACCATAAAATTATTTTCGTTGCTACTTCATAACTGTAATGTTGCTACGGTTATGAATCGTAATGTAAATATCTGATATGCAGGATGGTCTTAGGCGACCCCTGTGAAAGGGTCGTTCGACTACCAAAGGGGTCGCGACCCACAGGTTGAGAACCGCTGTCCTAGGACAACTATTGAATTATGTTTCTGGAAATAAGTGCTCTTGCCTGCACTAAAGCTAAGTGTCACATCTTAGCCGGCCACAGTCACCGCCTCCCCCCGACCCTCCAGGTCTTTCTTTCCATGACTGGCAGGTATTACCCACTGTTGTTGATAACAAGCAGCTATTGTGATCATCATCACCACCACCACCCTCAGGGCCTGGCCCTTTAATTCCTGGAAAGGTTGGATGGAGCATGGAGACTTCATAGAGGACATCTAGATAATTTCTGAACAGACTAAGTAAATAAGACGAATCCTCAGTGTCTTCGACGCAGCTTAACGTGATCGGGGAACCAGGGGGCTTGGCACCGAGGTCCGGTCTGACCACTAGTGACCATGGCCACCTGCAGGTGTCACTTATCCATCTGTGACCTCAGTGACCTCGTTGTGACCTCCCTGTGACCTCAGTGACCTCCCTGTGACATGGGGACTGTGCTGCCACCTCCCTCGTGTGGTCGCACACGTGTCAACCGAGACGACAAATGCAAAGGCAGCCTAGGAATCTAAGTCACACTCCCATCCTTCCATCCCTGGGCTGTCCCCAGGCTAGATTAGTAAATGTCTACACCATCTTACAGAATCCCATCCTGGGACGTCTGGGGGAGGAAGGGAAGGTTGCAAAGGACAATGGCCCGGCCCTCTCCATATCCTTAAAGTCGTGGAAAATCTTCACTTGCTAACTGGAACCCAAGCAGCAGGATGGAACCACTGCCCCAGCAACAGTTACAATCCCACCACCAAACCACCCCCAGCTCCCAGAACCAAACTGCCCACGGCTGCCCACTCTCCCCCAGCGTGGTAACCGGGGTGACCCAGCTGGACCAATGACTTCCTACTCAGGCGGAAGTGGGCCGTGTGCAGCCACCTTCACCCCGATGCACCCCTCTTACTGACACCTCCCTGGCCCTGCATCAACGCCTGCCCCTACCTCCCCTCACAGGACCCCTTACCTGGGGATCAGCGGCGGACTTTCGGACACTCATGTGGGCAGTCTCAGGAGGGTGTGCTGGGGTCCCTGATGCGTGGTATCCATTCACTGCGGGGACAGAAACACGGCTCAGATGGGGCGCTGGCCACAGACTTCCTGCCCCTGCCGCCCCTTCTCCCGCCTCGGGGCCTGGCGCTGGGAGGGCTCGTCTCAGGACCTCACCCGTATTCACAGAGCTGGAAAAGGGGCGCGAGCATCTCTCTAACCCCCAGCACCCAATGACTGGACTCGTGGGGGACACGTTTCCTTTTGAGCCAGAGAGGAAGAGGAATGTGCTGGGAAGAGCTGAGGCCATGCCCACCCAATGGTCGTCTCTGGAAATGCCATCGGCTGTGGTCACTGGTGCTGGGCAAGGGCCCTCTCTCTCTCTGGGGTCAGGAGGCCCCAGCACCGGCCTGTAATTCCTCTCTGACAAACTTCGCTCTGAGAACCCCTCCATCCTTGCGGCCACAGTGCCATGTGAGGAGTGTGTTTAGTGGTTTCCATGACAACTGTTTTGCCAATTAATAGCCAGGTGATCTTGACGTCCTTCTTAAATTGCCTTTTCCAAGAGTAAACACACACACACACACACACAAATCCAAGTTTCTAAAACTCTACCCCTATGACATTCACTCGTGCTCCCAATGTGAGCTAACAGACCAGCCCTTATGTATGTGTGTATGTGTGTGTGTGTATGGGGGGTACATGGGGGGGTTTGGTTCCCAGCATTTACCAGCTTCTGTGGTATAAATACCCTCACCATGGGGATTGGCAGCCCCAGCACCGCTGTGCGGCTCATATAACCCCAGTTCCCACGGGCGGTGCTGCTCTCACGGGCACAGTCCAGTGGCTCCTGCTCAGTGAGCCTCAGCTTCTGAAGCTATAAAATGGGGACAATGCTCCCCAGTCCCCAAACCTACTTTGTTGGTATGAATGAGACAACACTTGCAAAACGGACCTGTGAATTATAAAGGACTTCATGAAAAAAGGGGGTGGAGAGAGGGAGGTTTCCTGCTTAGTTCCTGAATCTAGTCGCCTTGCACCCCAAGATTGCACCATCACTGGGGACCAAGGAAGCCTCCCCTTCCCCAGGCTTGGAGGGATTGCCACAGCGCGGACCGTGCAGGTCGGGCTGGAGGGACGCAGGCTCCTGTCCGAATCACAGCTTGTCGAGAGCTCTGCAGTGTGGCGGGAAGCAAAACGGAGAATGACTGAACATCGGGAACCCTGCTCATGTGCAGTGGCGGGGGCGGGAGGCCAGCCATGGGGTGAAGGCGACCCTGCGAGAACTTTCCCCATGCTGGGGTGCTCCCTCCTCCATGGCCTGCAGCGAAACAGAGCCACACTGAGCGGGTTCCCGGGGTTGTCCCGACCTGCAAGGTGGGCCCGACACTGCAGGAGAAGGGGGGGGGGCACAGACACCCCGGGACAACAGGAAACTGGGCCCAGAGGCTCGGGAAGCAACGAGAAATAAATGAACCCCATGTGGACGGCCACACTCCCCTCAGGCAGCTGGTCAAGTGCTGGCACCACTCAGGAGTCCCTCAGCTAAGGGGGAGGGGCAGGATTCCAAGAGCTTCAGAGAATGTCGGGGAGGTGGCGGGAGGACCGTCTACTTAGATCGGCATAAGCTGTGCCCCAAGGGCACTAGACTGATGTTAAATACGACGAAGCGGAAGGCATGACCTTTGGGAAGGTTTACTGGTCAGGCAGCACAGCACTGAAACGGAAAAACACAAATGCTGGAGAAGCCAGACAACAGCAGGAAACCCAGCACCGGCTCTCAGCCCAGGACCTGGCGGACAGAGGCGCGGATGTGGAAAAGCTCGGTAACTTAATTTAAAAGGCTGATTGAACTGGACGCATGAAACAGAATACCCACAAACAAAGATGATATCTGTGCCAAGAAGCCATGGAACATTAAAAAAAAAAAGTTGCGCATATTTAAGCCACAAATAAAGGATCGATAAATTGCAAGAGGCATACAGAACATAAGCCACATTCTTTGAGCAGAAAGTAATAAAAGTAGATATTAATAACAAAAGAACAAACATACCAGTTCCCCTCCCCCCAACTCCCAAATGCTTAGAAAGGTGAGAAAATGCTCTGTTAAATAATCGGAGGCCAAAGAGGAATTTAAAACAATAAGTTCACAATATTTAGAAGATAATGAGGAAGAACATATCGGAAGGGACAAGGCCTGAATTATATTTGGAGGAACATCTATAGCTTTCATTACCTCATTACCAAAGCCAAGGACAAATAAAAATAAATGAACTGAACATTCGATTTAAAAATTTAGGAAAAAATCAAAAGCCACGGAAATAAAGCAAAGGAAAGCAGGAGAGAGAGAGATAGAAACACGGCAGCAGGGATTTCTGAGCTGGGAGGCAGGATGGCACTAAGGACCCTGCTGGTCCTCTCTGTGTGTTGGGGGGAGGGGCAGGGGTCACAGCAATGAAAAAAGCAGATCAGTGTGTGTAATTGAGAGGGAGAGAACGCAAGTGCCTGGAATGGAGGATTAGAAAGAAAACAAGCAGAGATACTTTCTTTAATGCAACAGCATTTGATTTCTTATTCTACTAGAGGCCCGGTGCATGAAAATGTGTGCACTAGGGAAGGGGAGGGATCCCTCAGCCTGGCCTGCACCCTCTCGTAGTCTGGGACCACTCAGGGGATGTCCACCTGCTGGCTTAGGCTCACTCTCCAGGGGGATCGGGACTAGGCTGGCAGTCAGACATCCCCTTGGCAGCCAGGGTCCCCTCGGGGGATGTCCAACTGATGGCTCCAGGGGGAGCAGGCCTAAGCCGCAGACAGACATCCTTAGCGCTGCCAAGGAGGTGGGAGAGCCTCCCGCCACCGCGGCTGTGCTCGCAGCCATCAGCCCAGCTTGTGGCTGAGCGGAGCTGCCCCTGTGGGGGCGCACTGACCACCAGGGGGCAACTCCTGTGTTGAGCGTCTGCCCCCTGGTGGCCAGTGCATGTCATAGCAACTGGTCGTTCCTGCTTGTTCCACTGTTAGGGTCAATTTGCATATTGTCCTTTTATTATATAGGATGCTAATAAACACAAAGCCTTCCATGAGGTTTGAATGATCCACATGGTTTCAAAGGACACTAGAAATGCCAAAATGAGTAAAATCTTTGAAAAGTGGCCTCCCTCCAAAGGCACCGGGCCCAGATTGTTGTATGGGCAAGCTCCTTCAAAAGCTCAGGCCCAGACTGCACCACTGTATAGAAACATGTGGCCAGTTGCCCAGTTCATCACACAATGCCAACATCACCCGATCCTAAAATCTACCAACGGCAACAACAACCAGAACCACATTCAGTCTGGCGATGACTACGGAGTCTGAAGTTCTTACCCGAGCAGGCCTTGGTTTCCAGTCAGTCACCACCTCTGAGGGGGTGGGATCCCTGTAAACTAAGTTTGTCCCCAAGTTCTTGAGGGCAGAGGCTGCCCTCCTGACCTCTATGTACTCCCTTCACAGCACCCTCACCCCACGGCTCTCTCCCCCCGCTTCCAGGTCCCCAGGCTCCCAGCCGGCTGCTCACGGCACCCAGGAGTTGTCTGACACAGGGCATTCAGCCCCTAATCCATTCTCTTGTTCTCACTTCAGTTCTGGTCTGTCAGCTGTTAGCTAATTACTGCTCATGTCAAAACAATTACTGGGAAAGAAAAAATAATTTTCCATTCAGCCACTTCTCTGCATACAGCAGCTCTCCTCAGATACTGTGTCCCGCTGCACTGCGCTGTCAGTCCCCGGCACATGAGGAAAGTGACAGCGGAGATCTGAACCGCGTGGCCCACCCTCCGCACCCTGCATTGGGGTTCCCAGTCCTCCAGACTCCCCACTTACCAAGGGTTTACATACAAAACTCATGAGCCCAGAGGTGGGTGCTTCTGAG